ATGTGTAATTCTTCAAAGGAAAAAAAAACAGGTTAGAAAAACAGAAAAAAAATATTTTACAATAAAATTCAGTTCTAATAATTTTAAGTATAATCAAAACACACTTAGTGTGTATGGATTAATGCTGTTATCAAAAAAAAATTAGGTTTTTTTTGATTAAACATAATTTAAACATCAATTATTGATGCAATTATAGTAAAAAAAAAATATGAAAAAAAAAGGTTGATTTTTTCTATACAATCAATTCAATTTATGTTTATCAATTATTTGCTTTGATTTATTCTTAATTTTGTATATGCATAAAGCAATACCTAAATAAATGATTTAGCAAAAAAAGGATAAGAAATTGACCATTAATTTAACACTTAAATTAATGATCAGTTTTTTTGGATGTATTTAATTTTTGTAATACTGAAAATACTGATAGTTTTTTTGTACAAATGATTACTGCAAAATAATTTGGTTTGTTGATCTTTGTTCAATAAAAAGTTCGCATTTTTTGTTTTGTTTTGTTCTGTGCTGTTACATTGAGCAGAGAGGAGATGGTCAAAGACTAGACTAAGCAGCGCTTGTTGAGACTAGACAAACTTCTCAAGAAAAGATAGATCTTAAGATCAAAGAGGAAATTTTAGCTTAGTTTTGCTGAACACAACTGAATTGTTAACTTTAATAAAACAATAAATTGAGCAAAAAAAAAATTTGCTTTTTTTTTCCTTTGCAGACATTTTTAGACAATTTAACAAACATCAACTAAAAATTGTTGTTCATTGTCAATTTGTTATGTTCTAAAACTGAAAAAACCTTTTTTTTTTTTGATTTAGATGAATATGGGGAATTTTTTATGTGTTAAATAATCCTCTTCTTCTTCTTCAAATATTAATTTTTTCCTTTCTTTTTTCTTTTATATATATTTTTTTAATAATCTTAAAACACTATTATAAGCTGATTCAGTGAAACAATAGAAGAAAGTGGTAGAAGACAAAAGCAAATAAAACTAACGAGAAAAAAAGCAAAAAAGAATAATAATTTTAGCAACCTAAAAGAAGAACTTTTTTGTTGTTCCGTTGCAAAATGACCATATAAAAAGACGTTTGAAAACAGCAAAAGACAACTCATAATGAAAACTTTTAAACACTTCAAAAAAGTTAACCATTTGATTGTTTGTGTTGAAGCATTTTTTTTTCTGTCTCTTTCAGATCATTAAATTTGTCGGGTTTGGAATCTGCTGAACAACAACAATAACAGCTGTCTTTTGCTGATGGACAAACCATAGACCAGTTATTAGACTAAGTTAACAAGAAGAAGATAAGCTTGTTGTGAAGCCAGTTAAATTGTTTCCACAATTTTTTCTATACCACCTTATATCAATTCTGTTCTTCTACTTTTTCAAACCTATCTACATTCAGTGTTTGATGTACTTTTCACTGAAAACCATTCTTATGCATTAAAAGAAAAAAAAAATTATTTGCAAATCTTTTTCTTTTTTTTTTCAGACAATAATATTTTATACTCACCAATAAAAACAGGAGATTTTTTTTTTAAGTTACTAAACCGGTTACAATAAATGTTCCATCAAAAATGTTTAAACCGATGATGTTACAGGTGTAAAAAAAAAAGACAGAACCTTAGACAAAACAAAAATAAATCTAAGTCTTTTTAGCCAAGTATAGATGTAAGCAAAAAAAAAAAAAAAAAA